AGTGAGGATATTTACAAGCTGTCGTTACATAAGCAGGATTGCTGAGATGCCAGCATGTTAGAAATTAAACCTTTTCACTTTTTTCTTCCCTGCTCTCTTTCTGCATTTCAGTCAACAACAACAACAACATCAACAACGGCCCCGGTGGTGTCGCAGGTGCGTCCCCCTCCCCTCTTCAGCTGGCTCTCACATCCAATGGGATCACGCCTGAGAATTGCCCCGCCCCTCCAGGTCACCCTATGTGTTTATGTGGATTATTGGGAATCTAATAAGACCGTGTTTAATCGCTTAAATAAAAAAAATACAAAAGTGGTCCATTATGTTTTTGTAATAAATGTTTTATTTCCTGTGCAGGCGCTGAGCCGGTATCTGAAGGGGACACACCCGCTGACCCTGATCAGCTGATCGAGGACGGAGAGGAAAGGGAGGAGGGAGAGTCCACAGAGAACATCAGCAAAGAGGAAGCAGCTGAGAGACTGATGGTAGGGCGAGACGTTTTATCACCTCGCACGTTTCATAATTCCATCATATCTAAATTTGTGAAACATGTGGCTTCCACTGTCAGAAAGATATATTATTTTTTGTATAGTTTTCTGGAAATCCAATGAAAAAACTGACTTACAGCTTCAGAACGTGTCTGGGAAGCCTCAACTTTTTAGATTTTCTCAGTTTAAAATAAATCCACAAACAGTTTTCTGTACATCTGTGATTAAACTGCAAACAGGAGCTGCTATTTCACCTTTTTTGAGTGAGAATGAAGAAGTTTTATAGTCATGCGTTTATAGTACAATACGTTTGTGTGTTTTTGCTTTAAGGAAACAGAGAAAATCATCGCTGAGCTGAACGAGACATGGGAGGAGAAACTGAGAAAAACAGAATCTATTCGTCTGGAGAGGTTCGTTTTATTTGACTCTGAGCTTTTTACATGTCTTCAGTTAATTTAGTCAATGTGTTTTGTTGTCACTTGTAAAAGTGCTAACGCTACCGTGAGCATCAGTGTTCGTACTGGTGCCGTGGGCTCTTTTTCTCCTGCGCTTATCAAACAAAACCTCAGGGCAGGTGTAGGAGTAGAAAAAGTCTCATCTCAGCTGCTGCATCTTCGTCTGTATTAGCAGGAAGTCTTGGAGCGTCTGCACTGACATGGAGTCAAAAACTCTTGTCTGTAACCCGGCAACAGCAACCACGCAAGGTTTAAAACTCTAGAAACCCACCGAAGCGCGGTTTATGTCAGTCGAGTGATGCGACTTTTGGTATTTCACACGGTTCATAAAGGCAACAACAGGCTTAACGACCCTTTATTCACCATGGCACACGAGGCTCATGGGAACTGTAGTGTTTA